TCAAAGAGATTGTGCCAGTTTACATCCTCACCAGCAGTTTATGAAAGGACCTGTTTCGTCTTACTTATTGTGGGCATGATTAGGCACTGTTATCTTTGCCAATCTGTTATCTCACTTTAATTTGTATATCTTCAGTCACTAGTGAGGTTAAGAAACTTTTTCTGTGTTTTTATTTGTTTATGAGAAATTTTTATTTCTTTGTTTTAGAATGAGCTGTATCTTCACATTTTTTGTCCAATTTAAAAGCTATTTATATTTTTCTTTTTAATTATGAGAGCTCTTTATATATTAAGGAAATTGGTTCTTTTTTTTATCATCTGGATTGTAAAAACTTTTTTTAAAAACCCTGTTACCTACCTTTTAACTTAGTCTGTAGTATTTTTACATGGTGCAGCTATTTTAAATCTTATGTAGACAATGTTTCCTTCTTGGCATCTGAGTTTGGGGTCTTCTTTTAAAAGATTTTCTCCAATTCAAGATTGTCTGTGTGTCTCTCTGTGTGTTTGTGTATGTGTACTGCCACGTCCCCCCTCCCCATGTCATTTACTTACATTTAAATCACCTATCTAGAATTTACTTGATGTAAGGAATCAGGCATCCACCTTTACCTTAAGCGTTTCCAAATGGCTAGCCAATTACTCCAGCACCAATTATTACACCGTCTAATTTTATTATTTTATTCCTGATTTGAAATACATCTTTAATATATACTTGCTTATCGAATGTATTTGGGTCTATTTCTACATTCTAATCTGTTTTGTTAATCTGCCTTTTTCTTCATGCACCAATACCAAGCATTTTTCATAAATGCAGCTTTATAGTATGCTCCAGTACTTCTAAGGTTAATCTTTCTTTATTACTTTCCATTTCCAGAATTTTCCTGGCTAGCCTTGCTTGTTTATTTTTTTCATTTGAACTTTAGACTCAGTGAGTCTACTTCCAAAAAACCTCATATCTTTATTGATATAAAAATTAAAGGTAAAGTTTAATTGAGAAAGAATATGCACCTTTACATCATTAAATCTTCTAATTGATAAGTAGGGTAGGTTTTTTTAGTTTCTTCTTTCATTTTTATTCATTTTTTGTTGTTGCTGATGTTGTAATAGTTGGTATTGGTGCTATTTTAAGTACAACATTTTCTTCCATCTAGTTTTCTAGCTTTTTTTTTTTCAGAAATGTAATATGCTGTTGATTTCAGATAATAGTTTTGTAATCAACTACTTTACTGACTTAATTTATTGTTTGTAAGAGATTTTTCCAATGGTACTCTTGGATTATGTAGATATAAAATCATATTACCAGCAAATACTCATGTTGTCTCCACTTTGTAATTCTTAAAATTCTTATTTTTATCTTGGTTTACCTAGAACAATGTTAAATAATAGTGGCAATATTATTTCTCTTATCTTGTTCCTGACTTTAATGGAAAATATTTCTAGTGTTCAGCATTAAACGTGATGCTGTTGTTTAACTTAAACATTTTTTTATCTCTCTACATTAGGTTGAGCCATTCTTTATAGGAGGGGGAGAAGAACCCCAGCATAGTGGGAAATGGAGAAATAAGAACAAAGTTGACAGATGGACTCCAAAGTTCAGGTAGAAGGAGTGACTTTGGAAGGAGTCCAGTCTCTCTTCCATAGCATCAGAAGCAAGGAAGAAAGGTTTGGTTCAGATACTGTTTAGTTGATGGTGCAGAGATTTTTTTCTCACTGGCCTCCATTTTCTCAGGAAAGAAAGCAACATCATTTTGTGAAAATGAGAGAAAGATAGCGGGGTTGTGGGTTTCAGAAGAGGGGGAAGTTGGAAGACTTGGTAAGAGGAATGAGAGAGGGAACTTGGAGGGGACACAGGAGCACTGACTGCCCAGTGGCCAGCAGAGGAATGAATTCTAAGTGGCAGTGAGAGTGGATCCTGAAGTTTCCCCTGCAGTCCCCTGCAGCCTCATTTGAGAGTGAACTCCTCCTGAGTCATCTCTGCTTCAGGCCAGACAGCCCTAATTCTTTCAATGTTACTCATACGTTTTGGATTGGAGCCCTTCACTCTCTGAGCCGTCTCCTCTGAACTCGCTGCCTTTTGGCAAACTTCCTCTCGGAACTGAATGTTCTTCTCTGGTGAGGGCTGACCCAAGTCCACCTTCCTGGTCTGGAACCTATTCTTCCATTAATTTAGCCTGGGATGACCACAGCACGTTTGGCAGCCTCACTGCATTGGGTCAGTGACAGAGAAATCCAAGGCGCAGGAAGAAATCTGTGTGATAATGTGTCAGCCCCCAAGTTAGGCATGGGAGGACATGGGGTGGGAGGAGACCAGCAGTTTGTTAAAGAAGCTAGAAAAAGATGTTTAATGTGCTGGCTAGTGGAGAATATCTAGAGGTGTGGGGTCAGGGATCAGGGCTGGAAAAACACATAGAACATTCCCCAGGGACAGCCACTCATCAGCTAAGACCAGCCAGGCAGGCACAGCACTCAGTCACATGGAACCTAGTTACAGAGCACAGCCAATAAAACAACCCCACCCCCACCCCCAGAAGATCCAAAGCCCATTAGGGTTCAGGGGTGTAGCAAGAGAAAAACAAGAATGTGAGGGAAGCCTCCGGGGCTCCTTTTGACTCTAAACACTAGTTACAGGGGTTACTACAGGTCAAAGTCTCTAGGCACCACAAAGCACAGGGTCCCTAGGTCTGAGGGAGCAGGATAAAGTGCAGAGGAAGGAATATAGCCTTTGGTGTCAGATCTTGATTTTTTTTTTTTTCTTTGCATCTGGCCAATGAGGAACCAAATCCTTGACCTTGGTGTTATAACACTGCACTCTAACCAACTGAGCTAACTGGCCATCCCTTAGATCTTGATTTAGATCTTGATTTAGAACCTGTCTCTGCTACTTATTTGCTGTGTAACACTAACACATGGCACATTGCTTAGCCTCTTAGGACCTCAGTTTCCACAAGTGTAAAAGGGGAATTAATCATACTTACCCCTCAGAGCTGGCTGTTGAAAAAATAGCGTCAGTGGCCCTCCAGCATGGTGCTTGCTTGCCCATCTCTGTGCCTTGTATTTGTTATTGCCTCAGAAGCACATTTATACAACCCAGATTTGCCTGAGTATCTCCTGGTCACCCTGCAGGTCTCATCTGGCTTTTTCTTCCTCCTAGAAGCCCTCCTGGATTAGGCATCCCCACCAGTCTGAATTAGGTGTCACTTTTCAGTGCTCCTATAGTGCTGTCCACATTGCTATGGTCCTTCATAGGACTAATCGCACCACATCAGAACTCTTTACCTGCCTGTGTCCCCACTAAGTCTGCAGAGGCAGGAGTAGGATCTTGTTCATCGTTGTACCACCAATTCATGGCACATACTTACCAGGTGCTCAATAAATAAGTGTTGCTAGAATGAAGTTTTGAAGATTAAATTAGATAATGAATGTTTAACCCATCCTTCCCAAACCACACTGGTTAGGGGGTAAAAATAGGAACATGAAAGAACACTTATCCACCCTATACCCTCTCTGCAGTTTCTTTGGCTCCCTTAAAATTCTTCCCAAAGACTACGGGAAAACCTCCGGGAAGAGAGCACAGATTCTGGAAACACACCACCTGGGTTCCGATCTTGGCTTTGCCACTTATCAACTCTATGACTTACCCTATCTATGCCTCAGTTTACTTAGCCATGGAATGATTCATAAGGTTGCCATGGGGATTAAATAAGCTAATATCTGCATAATGTTTGTAACCATGCCTGGAACATAGTAAACACCATCTGAGTATTTAATAAATATGTCACAGATGCTCCACACACTGGTCCTCCTGGCTGCCCTGCCATGTTTCTTCCATTCTGCTCCAGCTGTCTGTGATGATCTCCCACTACCACTGATGCCAAAAATGTCACCCAACCTTGTGGGGTCCAGGCAACCTCTGGGTATTGGTTGGGATTGCATTCAGCCACACTCCTACAATTACCAAAACCATAGCATCTTGCACTTCTTTTTCTTAAGTTCTCTACTAGATTCCAACTCACACTTAAATGTACTTGTGAGTCCACTGAGGATCTTGTAGATTGTGATTTGGAACTGGGCAGGCCTGACATTCTGAATTTCTAAGACGCTCACTCGGAATGCTAATGTTGGAGGTCCATGGACCACACTTTTCCTAACAAGGACCTAAAAAATAGGATTTGTTTTTCTCACAAACCTGTGTACTGATGGGCCAGCCCGTGGCTCACTTGGGAGAGTGTGGTGCTGATAACACCAAGTCACAGGTTAAGATTCCCTTACCAGTCATCTTTTTTTTTTTTTTAAAAAAAAAAGCCTGTGTACTGGGGCCGGCCTGGTGACTCACTGCTACAGTGCGCCGCTTGGGAGCACGGCGGCGCTCCCGCCGAGGGTTCGGATCCCACATACAGACCGGCCGCTCACTGGCTGAGCGAGGTGCGGGCGCAACCTGTAGCAGTGAGTCACCAGGCCGGCCCCAGTACACAGGCTTTTTTTTTTAAAAAAAAAAGCCTGTGTACTGGGGCCGGCCTGGTGACTCACTGCTACAGTGTGAGTCACCAGGCCGGCCCCAGTACACAGGCTTTTTTTTTTAAAAAAAAAAGCCTGTGTACTGGGGCCGGCCTGGTGACTCACTGCTACAGTGTGAGTCACCAGGCCGGCCCCAGTACACAGGCTTTTTTTTTTAAAAAAAAAAGCCTGTGTACTGGGGCCGGCCTGGTGACTCACTGCTACAGTGTGAGTCACCAGGCCGGCCCCAGTACACAGGCTTTTTTTTTTAAAAAAAAAAGCCTGTGTACTGGGGCCGGCCTGGTGACTCACTGCTACAGTGTGAGTCACCAGGCCGGCCCCAGTACACAGGCTTTTTTTTTTAAAAAAAAAAGCCTGTGTACTAAGGTAAAGAGAGGAACAAGCACATAAATAAAGATTCAAAAGAGAATTAGAAAGAAAAATCAAAAGATACACAAATATAGGTATTTATACCACTGTTTTAGCATTTTAATGTTAACAGGGCCTGTGTCTATGATTTTCTTGACTGCCAAATGACTGCTTCAGCTCCAGTGATCAAGTCTATGGCCAAGGCAGAAAGAAGGGGGTGAGTACCGGGCAGAACCGGTCCTGAGTGTGCCCTTTCGATGTGAAAGCAAGAGCCGTTCCAGATACCTCCAGCAAAGCTTTGCTTACATCTCATCGGCAAGAATGCTTTCACATGGCCACCTCTAGCCTCAAGGAAGGCTGGGAAGGTGACGGTTTAAGTGGGCACAGATCTGCCCAAAAGAAAATAGTGAAGAATGAGAAGAAAGGATATTAGATAAGCAACTATCAGTATCAGCCACAATCTGTGCTGACGCCCAGGGTCACGGACACACCACTTTCTGTCACTCTTAAAAGATTATGGGTTGGTTAGAGCACAGTCTTATAACACCAAGGTCAAAGGTTCAGATGCCCTTACCAGATAGCAGCCACAAAAAAAAAAAAAAAAAAAAAAAAAAAAAAAAAGAAAAGAAAGAAATGAAAAAGAAAAAGGTAACAAAAGAAAGAAAAGATTATGGGGTTGGGGCTGGGGCTGGCCTGTGGCTCACTCGGGAGAGCATGGTGCTGACAACACCAAGTCAAGGGTTAAGATCCCTTTACCGGTCATCTTTAAAAAATAAAAATTTTAAAAAGAAAAGATTATGGGGCTGTAAAATAGTATCGCCCTGTCTCTAGGGCTCAGGCCTGTGTCCATGTGGGATGGGAGGAGAGTAATCTGAGGGCTGGTCTCGGAATGACCTCTCACTTCTGACCCATCATCTTTGAGCTGAACAAGTACCTTTGACATGAATTCTTTCCCAGGAAGTTTCTCAAACTGTACACACAGAAAGAGAGCAGTGGAATTCCACCCCCTCACCCTTCTTGATAGGGTAATGATCTTGTCCTGGAGAGAGGTCCTCTAGCCTACTCTCAGCCAAGTGCTTGGATGAAACTAACTCACTCCAGGCTTAAGGGGGTGGAGCCTATGACTGAGGCCGAGCCAATCAGTGCATTCCTCCTTAGGCAACTAGTGATTGGTTCAGTGATGATGACGTAGCCAAATCAACCAGCAGGGCTAGAAAGACTCAGTCTCATGCTTTTGCTTGAAATACAGGAGAAGCGGACTTGCTTTTCCATGCTGAATGTCCCCAAGGACGGCCATAGCTTCAGAAGCTTCTGGAAGCCCTCTTGAAATCACAAGGAGGTGAACTTAACTAAAAACACAGCCAACCATGAATGGATGGAGAAATGGAGAAAGCAAAAGGTCACAACATTTGTGACCGACATAAACCATGCTGGAACCATATAGTTTTGTAGTGTAATAAATTTCCTTACTTAAATTCAGCCAGTTTGCATTGGGCTTCTTGACTTGCAGATGAAAAGCACCATCGCCGATATAGGTAGACATCATAACTTGGGATGGTTGTATGGGCTTCAGCATCAGGCACCCTTGGGGTTGAATTCACCTCCCACCACTTGCTAAGTGCTTGACCTCACTTCCAAGAGCCTCAATTTTATCCGCTACAAAGGAGGGAAAACAGAGATGCCTTCATTATGGGATTAGATGAGACAGTGTGTGAGAAGTGCTTTGCACGGAGCCCAGCACACACAGGTACATGGGATGTCACATTAGTTTGCGTTTTTTTCCAAAATCAAATTAAATCTGTGGGGGCCTGTGATACCATGAAATATGTATTTCCTGCATACAACTCTTAAAAGCTTTAGAATCTCCAAAGTGATGTCTTTTTGTCTGCTGAGTTGATGGAGGGCTGGAAGCTCCTAGCTAGTATCAGGATGGGGGCTGGTCATCTGAAAGACCAAGGCGGGATTAGAGGGTTGGGACTCTCCCACCTCCTGGAGGGGAGAGGAGCTGAAGATTAAGTTGGTCACCAGTGGCCAATGATTTGGTCAAACATGCTATGTAATGAAGCCTCCATAAAAACCCAGAGGACTGGGTTCGAGAAACTTGGGGACAGTGAACAGGCAAGGGCTTACACATCCACTTGCCAGGAGGTTGGTACACCCCAACTCCATGGGGGCAGAGCTCCTACACTTGGGACCCTTCCAGACCTTGCCCTGTGTATCTCTTCATCTGGCTGTTTATTTGTATCCTTTAAAATACCCTTTGAAATAAACTTTTGAATTTAGGTAGGTGTTTCCCTGAGTTGTGTGAGTTGCTCTAGCAAATTAATCGAACCCATGGAGGGGGTCATGGGAACCCTGATTTATAGCTGATTGGTCAGAATTTCCAGAGGCCTGGACTTGCAACCAGCATCTGAAGTGCGGATGGTCTTGGGCACTGAACCCTCAATCTGTGGGATCCGACACTATCTCCAGGTAGACAGTGTTGGAATTGAATTGGAGGACACCCAGCTGGTGTCTAGTACAGAACTGATTGTTTGCTTGGTATGCGGGGATAAACCCCATACATTTGGTCACAGTAGTATTCCGTGTTGATTGTGGTGTGAGAACAGAGAAAAACAGTTTTTGTATTTTCTTTTTTATTTTTAATCAGGGTCCCAACAGCTCACCGGACCTGCTGGGAGTTTAGATTCTGTCATTAGTGGGCAATGGTCTTGGGAGGGCTCTCAGCTCTTTTTGGATCACTGCAGTCAGGGCCATTATCTGAATCCACATATTGGGTTTTTGAAGATGGGTGGCTTGGCTGCTATTGTGTCGGGCTCAGGACCAGGGGCCTTGGCTAAGCTGGGAGCCCAAGGCAACAACAGTCCAAACATCCACCAAGAAGTTATTTTCCTCTAAAGCACTGCCACCTTCCCAGGCTGTTGTAAGAGATGGGACATGTGTCCTCTGTTCTTGGATGATCTGCCAGTCTCTGGCCCATTTCTGGTCCTGGGGGCCCCACTGCACTCCCCACTTTCACTGCTCCGCCTCCCTCCATCAGAGATGCTTGAGTCTCTCCCTTGTCTTTAGAGATGACACAACACATAACCCATAATAAATAATATTTTGAAAAACAAAGCCAGAAATGGGAGTTGTTTTGGGGTTATTCTGCTTTTTTCCAATCCCGTTAACCAATCCCCTCCTGGTGAGAGAATACAAAATCTAGTTTCCTTCTTGGAGCAAGGGAGGGAAGAATCCACAGGAAACAAAACATAAATTAATATTTCACTAAATTATCTTGCCACAGTATGAATGCATTTATTATTATTCCTTTTCATAGTATTATTATTATTAAATTATTATAAATTACCCAAGGGTAAATACAGCTTTGACTCAAATCTGAGACCTCTAAGATTCGTGATAAATGGTTTAGTGCAGTAACTGGCACCTACTGGAACATGATAAATATTAGTTTTTCTCCCTGGGTTTTCACTAAAAACGGCTCCTGGTGAGGTGTTACATACCTAGGGTTGACTATCTTTTAAACAAAGAGTGTACATTTCAGAACTACAAGTATAGTGTGACGCTATTTATGTAAAAAGAAAAGAATGCATTAAGCGCATATGAGGGGTCTTCACAATGTCCATGGAAAGATTTGTATTATCTTTTTTTTTTTTTTTGGCTGGTATGGGGATCTGAACCATTGCTGTTATAACACCATGCTCTAACCAACTGAGCTAACCGGTCAGCCCTCATATTATCTTTTAATTCCATTTTCCACAAACTTTTTGAGGTGCCCTCATAGATTTTATAGAAAAAGAAAATGCTTAGGAAATCATCTGGAAGGACACACACTAAACTTACTGAACAGGGGCAGGGAAGATGCTATGGTCTACATGTTTGTCCCCTCCAACGCTCACGTGGAAGCTCGATCTCCAGTGTGGCAGTGTTGAGAGGTGGGGCCTTTGAGAGGTGATTGGATCATGAGAGCTAAACCCTTATGAATGGATTAATCTGTTTATGGATTAACGGGTTAATGGGTTAATAGATGAGTGGGTGACCACAGGAGGGGCACTGGTGGCTTTACAAGGAGAGCAAGTGAACACATCAACACGCGCTTTTGCCCTGTTGCCGTGTGACACCATGCACCTCCCCGGGACTCTGCAGAGAGTCCGGAAGGAAGAAGGCCTTCACCAGATATGCTCCCTTGACCTTGGACTTCCCAGCCTCCAAAACTGTTGAGAAATAAATTCCAGTTCTTTATACATTACCCAATTTCAGGTGTTCTGTTATAAGCAACAGAAAATGGGCTAATACAGAAGGGAAACCCAGGATTGGCAGTGGCAGATAGAGGGGGCTTTAGTCTTATCTGTTATGTTTTCACTTTTTAAATGGAGAATATATTCAAATATTATGTACACAATCAAAATAATTTTCTATCAAGTTAACTTACAATTGAAAAAAAGAAAAAATGAGTGGGAGAAGACACAAGCAGCCCAGGTGTCCACAAAACACGCTTTTTTTGGCAAGGAATCGAACCCTTGACCTTAGTGTTATCAACACTATGTTCTAATCCAGTGAACTAATTGGACAGCCCTGCTTTGCTTTTTGACCCTAGGGTCTTTAAAATGAGGTTACTATAGCTACATGGTTTCTTTTGTACAAGAAAGAGACAGGGAGTCCTTTCTCTGAAATATGGTCGAGTCACAGCTCCGAGTACCAAAGATCATTACCTTGCTGGGTCTGTTGCAGTCCTCCAACAAACTCCAGGCAGCCCCGCTGAGACTGTGACTCTGGAATCAAAAAGGGGAGAAACGTGGGCAATGGAGAGAAAGGTAATCCAGAATACTGATCAGTGGAAAGGCTAGCCAGGTCTTGAGAGCAGTACCTCCTGAGACCTTGGTATTTCCTCTCGTGGAAGACATTTGAAGGTTTCATTTATCTAACTAAACATAGCCTTTGAGGGAATTCATTCTCTCTTTCATTGTCTTATCTAATATTACTGATCATAGTTGCCGAAGAACATGAATTTGGAATTAAGAGGAGTTACTCTACAAGTTGGCACTATACAGTCAGAAAGCAGAGCAAAGGGCTTAGCGCTGAACAGATCTGGGTTCAGAACTGTTGTCACTGCGCTATTTTGGGCAGCTTACTTTATATCGCTGACTTGCTTCTGTGATCTAAAAATGGAGATTAGGTAAAATAATAGTTGTGAACAGATTCAAACAACACTTTTGGTTTTCATAGAGTAGGCACCCGATGAATATTAGGATTATTTTATCACAGTAGTACTTTTTTGTACCTGGTCAGCCACAGAATACAGAAATGTACCATTTCTTGAAGCTTTTTGTTGAGGGAAAAACTCTACTTTTGAAGACCATGGAGTGGGAACTTCTGGCTAAATAATCTCCCTTCCCTGATTCTTCCTATTTATTTTCGCTTTAAATTTTTTTTCCTTTGGTTAGAGCATAGCCTTCTAAAACCAAGGTCACAGGTTCGGATCCCCATACCAGCAAGCCATCAAAAAAAAAATTTTTTTTCATTTTGTAATCATCTTTACACATGTTCTTATTCATTTTGCTTATTGTCTGTCCCTCCACTAAAATGTAAGCTCTCTAAACGCAGCAATCTGTGTCTGTCTTGTTCACAGCTATATCCCCAGTGACTAGCACAGTACCAGCACCTAATAGCTCAATAAAAATGTGTTGAATGAATGAATATTCCTAACTTTTCTCCAGGCCTGTCAGGTGGTGCTACATCTAAGAACACTCATATGAGGAAGAATCCTTATCAATGTGTACACTTTAGTCTCTGGTCCTAGGTGTCTCCTTCAATCATTTCTCCTTGGTCCATAACTACACCACATGTCCCCTTGCGCCATGGTCCTGCCTCCAGTCTCATATCCTGACCACCTTCCTCGCTGCCACAAGAGGGCTGTTTTTCTTTATTTGGTGGCTGGCTGGTAGGGAGATCCAAACCCATGACCTTGGTGTTATAATACCATGCTCCAGCCAACCGAGTTAACCAGCCAGCCCTCTTTTCTTTTTTTCTTTTTAAAGCATAAAATAGAATGTATTGGCTGACATCATTTTAAAGGTTGGGGTAAATAGCTTCAGGCATAGCTGGATCCAGGGGCTCAAATGATGTCATCAGAAGCAACTCCCTAGACATTGTTTCTTTCGCTCTGGCTCCATTCTCAAACAGGCCATGCCAAATATTTTTTCACCACAGCTGCAACCCTGGTCCACACCACTGTCTTCTCTACCTTGATGACTGCAGTGCCCTCCTAACTCATTTTACTTCTGCCTCCAGCCCAGTCCCTCACTCCCAGTCTCATCTCCACAGTGATCTTTTAAAAGTGTGAATCAGTTCATATGACTCCTCTGCTCAAAACCTCCCCATAGCTTCTGAGAGGAAAACTCAAGCCCCTCCCCATGGCCCAGCAGGCCCCTCAAGGTCTGGCCTCTGCCTGCCCCTCTGAACTCACCCTTGCTTCTCTC